AGTAGAATATAAGTTCAATGAAGCAATGTGACCTCAAATGCCTTATGACCTATTTACTGTAACTAGCTAAAATAATGTCTTAATATTTATTGAATGAATAACTGGCTGAATCAAACAAACAGACAAGCAAACTCACAATATGAGTTCAAAGGAAATACTTTCTCATTGATGCTATTGTGGCAGGATTGTTTTTTACTTGCCATTTTCCAGTTGCCTGACACATACCAAGGCTCAAGGAACAGAAGGAGACATTTGGCAAAACAACAGAGGCAATGACATGTTTGTGCCAGCATAGTCCATACAATATATATTGAGGGGACCATTCTGGGAGTGCAGTAGTTTTTCAGGTTGGGTAGATATCCTTTCTGCAGTATCTATGCCCCTCCCCCCACCAACACACACACTCTACCTTTGCTCCTCCATGAAAATACAATGTTTGGAACTGAGAATAAGAGCTAAGACTCTATGAGAAAGAAGCTGAGAGGTTAAGGGAACCCAAAGGGGCATGGAGGAAGGAGAGAAGAAAGAAAAAGTCTGAAGGGAAAGAGTTCTGTTCCCTGGGGGGTGAATGAATTCCATCATTATCCACGTACTTGCAAAAGCTACAATCTCAGGGGCATCTAGAATATTTCCTTAAACTTCCTTCTTTCTTTAAGCATCAGTTACAATCTGTCCTATCTCTGAAATCTCCTCTTTGTGCCACTTAATTCAGCCCACTGTCTACAACTATATATTATGCCCTAAGGGCCATTCACTCCAAACATTGTGATGGCCTTTTAACTGTTGTCTTGGCTACAGTTTCACTTTTTCCAACTAGTCATTCATACTGCAGCTAGAGCAAACCTTCCAGAGCATAAATCTGGACATATCATCTTTCTGCTTTGGTCGGATCCACAATAACTTACAGGTTATGGTCTAAAATCCTTATTTCTTAGTGTAGGCAATTAAGATATAATATTACCTTAGCTTTTCTATAACCTCTAAGTCCAGGGATACCATAGATTCCTTAACACTCCATGTTTTTGTATGCTTTTTATCTTTGCTATGCTGTTCTTTTGCTAGAAATGTCCTTTCATGTACAAAAGGTGGCTTCATCTTCTAAGTGTCTACTTATTCTTATTTATTTATTTTTTGTTAATTCTCACCAGAGGATATTTTTTCCATTGATTTTTAGAGAAAGTAGAAGGGAAAGAGGGAGGAAAGGGGAGAGAGAGAGCGACAGAGAGAGAGAGAGACAGACAGACAGACATCGATGTGTCTCACATCAATTGGTTGCCTCTGGCAAGTGCCCTACCAAGGCAGAGGATGGAGCTTGCAACCAAGGTACATGTCCTTGACCTGCAATCAAACTGGCAACCCTTTGGTGCATGGGCTGACGCTCTAACCACTGAGCAACACCAGCCAGTACCTAAATATCTACTTTATGAATCTTTCCTTAACACTCCATTTGGAGCAGAAACAATAGCACCTTCCTCTGGTTTTATTTAGCACTCACTTGTTTTTGTTCCACTAGTGTCCATACTTTTCATGTTCAGGCTTGTACTATGACTATTGTAAGCTCCCTGCCTCCCTCCCCCCAATAGATTGTGTGCACCCTGATGGCAGTTACTGTGCCTTATTAACTTTTGTTTACCAGTACTGAGCAGATACTCATCAAGTAGTTTTCAATTTTTTTAAATCTATTTTTCTCTTTCCTCTCTTCCACTATTATTTCATACCTTTCCTGCTTTGACCTCCATTATATGAGAAAAGAATATTTTTCCTCCATAGTTCCCTTTGTTACCATATATAATTGTAAAATAAATTAAACCATAGCTTTATTGTATGGAGGAAGTTGCCACTCTAAGCCCAGGGAAATTTCTAAGGTACTGGTAGCTGCACAATTTATTGTCAAATCTGTACTAGGACATGTTTGGATTTGGGAGCTAATATTCAGGATTTTCTGATCAAGGTACTCAGCTTAAGGTAAGATATCCAGCAAGAAATTCCTTTTCTTTCTTAAGTGTGGAAAATATCTTCAATATCTTACCCTTTCCCTCTAGTTTTTATATTTTCAAACTCTTGGGTATATTGGGCAGAACATTGCATTGTTCTTTAAACATAGGGAGTTACAACCACCTACACAGCAAAGATAAGAAGATTCTCTGAAGTAGTGAAATCCAAGCATATATACTGAAGATGGAAAGCACTGAGGAAAATGAGAGGACATGAAATCACGTTTCACTAATAACCCTGTTATAGTCCTCACTTAATAGTTTTAGAATCAATTTTGGGTAAGGGTGTGAGAAGAGTCTTGAAAAGATTTCCCTTTCTTCTTGCTGACACTAAGAAGATCCAGAGACACAGAAGCATAGAACAGGCTAAAGAATCTCAGAGGGGCCCGGCCGGGCATGGCTCAGCGGTTGAGCGCCGACCTAGGACCTAAGATCCAGGCGACCAGGGTTCGATTCCCAGTCAGAGCACATGCCCGGGTTGAGGGCTGCAGCCAATCAATGACTCTCATCATTGAATCAATA